GGAACGGAACCACTGCAAAGCAGTGCCTCCAATTCCCAACCCCCTCAGCACGAAAGCCTTCGACTTCCTAATGTACACTGTTTTAAAGCTATTGTCTTTTAAAACTGTTTGAACTTGTTAATCATATTCAATAAGTTTTAGTCTATTTAAATTCATCTGCATAGCTTGGAATTGTTTTAATTTGTTTGCAATGATTTTTCTTGCATACTGCCCCAAGATTTTTTTAAAAAATATAGGGTGGTATAGATAGATAAATAAAAATGTTTGGCTGTTTTAGGCAATATTATCTGATTTGACAAGCAGCACGTTTTCTGGTCACAAGTAGTAGTCTTCCAAATCTTTACTACTGAACATTTAAACTGCAGATGCTAAGAAATGAAGCTGAGATTTCAGCATACAAAGCTAGCAGACCTGGTGGAGCTGAAATCTACTGGGGAATCTATTCTTTGTGTCCCACCAGGCCAAGATATAAATTATATAGAGCCAAGGAAGAGAGCTTTCTTGGTTAATGTCTCCTGGTTATGAAATGTCCTCTGCTTGAAGGTGCAATTGACATCAACATTGGCTCACTCTTAACACCATGTTGAAACTCGGCTCTTCACTAGAGCTTCTCAAACCCACAGATCATAGCTTGATTTGTGTGGGTTTCTTTCTTTCTTTGATGTTGTTATTGCGTACACTGTTTTAAATGGTTGTGAATTGCCATTCTCTATTGTTATTCATTGTTTTCAATTCTCTATCGTTGGACAGCAGAAACCTGAGTCGTCTTACTGTGTGATATAAAGTAAACATATTTAAAAAATAAACCTCTGTATTTTCTTTATATTTACTCAACCTAGCCAAACTACACAACTTAACTTTTCCAGCTAGTCAAGTCTTCTGTAACACAGTATAGATTGGTATCTGTTGGGGTTTGGTTCCAGAAGCTCCCATGGATACCAAAATCTGGGGATGCTCAAATCTCATTAAATAGTGTGGGGTAGTAAAATGGTTTCCCTTAATAAAATGGCAAAATCAATGTTTTATTTTTTGGAACTGATAGTTTTTAAAAATATTTTTCAAGCTGTGGATGGTTGCATCCATGGATGAAGAATCTGTGGAAACAAAAGGCTGACTGTATTATCATTCTTTTATTTTAATTTTCATAGTATTTCATCTGCATAAGAAATCATAATTAGAAATGTTAAGATTGCACCAATTACAAAATGTATTTGATAATCATTTTGGTGATTGTTGTCACTGTTGTTGTTGAGATCATCATCATAATTATCATCTTCATCTCCATAACATTGTTTTTTTTTTGTGACAATATCAAATCATGATTTACAGGGTAACAATTGTAGAATTTTTCTCCACTTCTTTAGAACTATGGTGGGAGAAGGATATGGAAAACATTTTGAAGGCATCAATAAAATCAGCTGTGTGGAGATTTTTCATTATTGGGTAGTAAGCAAGTATTATAAAAAGAGACAAAATAAAGGGAAAGCTGATTATTCATTCTTTAGTTGAGGTGGATTATTATAATGTTCCAAATTTTGTAAACTGAAAGGCAGTAGAAAACACCTAGGGGGAAAAAAACACCAAGGAATAATTTAATTATTAGGACAATGAGAACTCAGATCTGACAGCCAAGCTGTGAGTCATTGAAGTTGAAAAGTTTAAAATCTATGGACAGAATTATCAAGATCTAGGAGATACCAGGGAGAGGAGAGATACAAAATTAAGACATTGTCCTTCCAAATCAGACTTCTGCCCCCACAAATAAAATTTTCCCTCATCCTCCAAATTTCTAGCATTGCAAAGAGTGAGACACTGAAAATTATTCACACCTAGAATTCTTATATTTTCTGTGTTTGCATTCCCTTGGTAACTGTGGTTGATTTCTTCTTCTTCTTCTTCTTTTTGTGGGGGGGGGGATACCTAAACTCTTTCCTCCCTCTGTTTCTTGCTGTTATTTGCTGTCAAGTCAGCTTTGACTTATGACAACCCTGTAAATGAGAGACCTCTAGGAGCCCTGTTCAGGTCTTGCAAACTCAGGATTCTGGCTTCTTTATTGAATCAATCCATCAGTAATGTGGGCTTTTCCTTTTCTACTACCTTCCACTTTACAAAAGATTATTATCTTTTTTCCAGTGAGTCATGTTGTTTCACAATATGTCCTTAGTTTGGTCATCTTGACTTCTAGTGAGAATTGCTCTCAAATCTATTCTTTGTCCATGATCTCTGCAGAGCTCTTCACTAGTAACATCTACCAATTAGTTGATCTTTTCCCTGTCTTCTTCACTGCCCAACTTTCACAACTATATATAGAAACTGGGGATACAACGGTATGGATGATGTTAATTTTGGTATTCAATTATGTACGTTTACACTTTGCATTCTCTTTCCATGGTAGTGAGACTTTTCCTACTACACAAATTTAGCACAATGATTCCAATTTAACTCTCATGGTTCCATCCTATGGCATTCTGGGATTTGTAGTTTAAGGGGGCATTTAAAATTCCCACTGATAGAGCTTTAATATTTTACCAAACTACACAACCCAGTAATCAGCAGGATGTAGGTAAAATGGGATCAAAGAGATATAATTGTATAGTGTGAAAGGCTGTCATATTTTGGCCACATTATGAAAAGGCATGACTCGTTAGAAAAGACAATGATTCTGGGAAAGTTCGAGGGCAGTAAAAAGAGAGGAAAACCACATGCCAGATGGGTGGACTCTATAAGGGCTGACTAGAGGACCTGAGCAGAGAGGTAGAGGGTGAGGGACTTGGAGACATCTCATTCACAGGGTTGCCATCAGTTTAGGTTGAAGGCAGATAACAACAACAAAGTGTAAAAGTTATCATGTTCTTCTGAGCTAAGAGGTGGTACCCCATTCGAATTTTAAATTTAAATTTATTTAAATCACTACTGATAGGCTTTTGCTGAGGAGTCAGAGTAAATGAGCCAAACTAAATAGTATCAGGAAGAAGAAGTGACACTAGGGAGTGACACTGGTAGAATTTCTCAGAGACACCAGCAGTGACACTTCAGCTTAGCTTATCGTTGTTAACGCTGCAGAGAAGAAGGCCATGGTAGACAACTCTTGAATGTCTTTGACCAAAAAAAAATCCATAATGATGATGATGATGATGATGATGATGATGTTTACCTGCCTCTCCCTATGGATCGAATGGGGAACAACAACAATTAATACACAAACAGCATCAATTAAAAGACACCAATTAAAACACACATCAATCTAAAAGGACAAACAAGATGTGTTCATATTAAAACAATTCAAATTTAAAATTCATAATTTTACATTTGCATTTTAAAAATAATCTAAAATTGGGATATCAGTCCCATAGAAATTTCCATTTTAATTCCACTAAAATAGTCTTTGTGCTCTCTCTCTCTCGCTCTCTCTCTCTCAATAGTGGTTGTGCCCTTGACTGCTGATTCCGAAAAGCTCTTTTGGGGATTCCATACTTATAGCTCAAAACAATAAGCAGATCACTTTCCAGGACTGTGAAGAAATTTCTTGTCACAGTGTAATGTTGTATCATTATCACATTAAGGAGATAAGGTCACTGAGGGGGAAAAGCAACATTTCTCATTGGTACAAAAGTCAAACTAGCAAGGGCAAGGATATCTTGCTTAACACCATGCCTAGTTGCATTTGAAGTCATTTTCATTTCTGGGTTTTTAATAAATAATTCCCAGTTTACTGATGGCTCTTCCTGCTGCTGTTGTATTGTTGCTATTATTATGGGATTCAAAGTGGCTCACAAATTATTAAAATCAGTACAGATTTTTTAAAACAAAAAGAGAGAGCAAAATATCAGTTTGTGTGTGTTTGTCTGCCTGTCTGCCTCTCTCTTTTCTTCTGTTGGATGTAGGTGGGTATAGTTTCACCCTTGCCACTTCTGTGGAGTATTAATCAGAGTAACTTCTCTCTATATATGTCTGTGTGTTCTTGTGCGCAAGCCATTTCTGATTTATGGTGGAGCTATGGCAAACTTATCATGTGGGGGGTTTTTTTTGGCACAATTTGTTTCAAGGAAGTTTTCCCTTGCCTTCATCTGAGGCTGAGGGAGTGTGATTTACCCAGTGACTTTCCATGATTGAACATGGATTCAAGCCCTGGTCTCCAGAGTCACAGTCCAGCACTCAAACCACTACACCACACTATCTCCTATTACCCATAGTTAGTTATTTTAGTGTAAAGAGAGCAAAGTAGTATATCAGAGAATTTTGGAACTCTGGATAAGACACTCAACCATTGGACTGCCACCTCTGTTGCGGATGAAGAAATGATGAGGTATATGGGAGAAGAGTATGTGCCTCTTAGTGTCCATATTTTTTAAAAGCAATTTAAAATGAAATTATTTTAAAATAATTTAGAAAAAATGGAAAGTGAAGAGCTTCTTTTAAAATTATAACAATGTGTAATTAGCTATTTGGTGGGGCCAGGAGACCTTTTCAAGGTGTATTAAGAAAATTTTATCCTTCTTTAAGGGCAACGTACCTTCTCAACTGGGTATATATAAGTTCTCCACATCACAGTTAAGAGAGTTTTTATATTAAAGCCAGTGTGGTGTAATGATTTGAGTGTTGGACATTGGGAGACCAGGGTTCAAATTCTGGCTCGGCCATGGAAACCCACTGGGTGACCTTGGACAAGTCACAGTCTCTCAGCCTCAGTGGAAGGCAATGGCAACCCCCTCTGAAAAAACCTGCCAAGAAAACGCTATGATAGGTTTTCCTTAGAGTCATCATAAGTCGGAAATGACTTGAAGGCACACAACAACTTTCTCAATTGGGTATAGATCAGTTCTTAGGAGATTTTTTACTTAACTACTGAAATGTTACTGTTGAATTTTTTAATAAATAAATAAATCTGATGTTGCTGTCCTTCATAAACAACAGAAAATGTGATTACATCAGGAACCCAAGGAATTTGCACAAGCTGCAATTGTTGTGAGAGTATCCATAACAAACATTTCATTTCTTCTAGCTCTGCAACATTCCAAGCATTTTAGCTTAGTACAGTATTTTAAACCTATTCCACCTTTTGAGAAACATCAAAATCTCACATTCTAGTTTAAGCATGTTCCAAAAAAATTATTAATTATTTAAATATAATGTTTAACTTATTAAAATATTCATACACATATGCATACTATTCAGCAACAATACATATACATATTTTAGTAGCATAATAAATGAATAGTAAAATAATTGTATTTAGTATCTCAACCATCACAACTAAAATTTAATGAAAGCATTTGTAACTTTAGAGAAGAAATTCAATTTTTCTTTATTAAAAAAATCAATTTTTATCAACATTAGTACTGAGACTACTTGCTTTCCACAAATGTTTGTATTTTTGGCTGTATTAAGGAGATGTGGATCATTTTCAGTATTGAACCTGTTGAACTGCTTTGTTCTTTGTGGTATAAACACAGAAAAATGAGTTCTGCAAAAGTATTTTGATAAAAATGAAAGGATGAAATCAAGAGCCAGATCCCTAGTTTGAGAGTGACAGGAAGACATTTTTAATCAAAAATTCTCCAAAGTGATTTGCTGGCAGTGATCTTTAGAGTTGCATCAACTTGAGTTCCAGAAACTCTTGTGGAGATTTTCTAGCAAAGACTGAACATTTATGGTAAAGGGTTTCTACTCAAGCTTCCAAATGAGATTTTCAGTCACAATATCTGAGAAATTTCACCTGAATTCATCCTGCAGGAAGATTATATCAGATTTGATTATTTCCTCTTGATACCATTTTCAAGAAGCTTGTCCTTAAGAGCTTCATAAAGTTGAGAAAATGAAGTGACATTTTCCACACCAACTCATTTTCTCCTTAGCTAGAATTCCACTATAAATTCTTGAATAATATCATAATGAGCAATGATTGTTATGCCCTTTTTTTCCTTGAAACTTCACATTCAGTGTCTTCAGGTCTTCAAATAGATCTGTCAGATATGACTAATTCAGCTGACAGCTATCATTTTTGAAAAGCTTGAAGTTGGACTTACCACCAGTATTCCCAAAATAGGGCAAGTCCTTATTTCTACCCATATATCTGACCAAGCACATTTTTCTTTGACAACCAGCAAACCCCAGTATACAACAAAATCACAAAGCAAGACAAATATCTAGAGTTTAACACACCATCCAAGGTATGCCCCTGACAATTGCTTTGCCCTGCTTTAAATACAAAGGCAAGATACTGTTCATATCTTAACAAAGACACAGTAACCCTTGTGGAGACAACTGAACATTTTCTTTGAAGTGGAATGTCCAAATTCAGTTCAGGTTTGCAGAAGTGCAATTGAACATGCAGTGTTGTTGTGCATGAGTTCACAAGTGCATGCATATTTGGCTATGCACCAGATTGCACATTGGTTTCTTGGTTCCTTTAAACAATTGTTGCCATTCAACACAACGGTTTCTTAGTATAATTAATGTATAACTATACATGCAGTTATTTATACTACCCAGCCCCAATATAGGATTTCATCCAGAGTTATATATTTGTCGTTGCTGGGTGCTGTCAAGTAATTTCCAACTCATGGCGACCCTAAGGTGAACCTATAATGGGCTTTTCTTGGCAGGGTTCTTCACAGGGGGTTTGCCATTGGCTTCTTCTGAGGGTGAGAGACTGTGACTTCCCTGAGGTCACCAAGTGGGTTTGCATAGCTGACCAGTGATTCAAACCCTCTCCTACAGAGTCATAGTCCACCACTCAAACCACTGCTCTCTCAAATGCTATACTGTACTATACTATACTATACTATACTATACTATACTATACACACTTCCCTTGAAATATTATTAAATTCTTGCCAATCACCTATAATGGTTGAGGATCACAAATTTAGAGCAATCACAAATTTAGAGCAATCACATATTTCTTTAAAGATATAGCTAGTAGAAATGCCTAGTTTCCCCTTTTCCTTCAAAGTAATCCTAGGAAGTCTGCCCCCAGAAAGCCTGGTGGGGAACCTAATCTTTTCCCACTCCAGTGTGGAACTAATCCAGGTTATGCTGTCTGTATTTCCAACTGCTTTCTCCAAAGAATGAACTATGTTTTCCAATCGATTTCTTCACAAGCACAATGAAGAAAAACATTTTGGGGCTGGAACTGAGAATTCCTAGTTTCTGGATGCCATTGGTGAATTTGTGGATAAAATAACATTTAAATTGGAAATTTTTACATTCATATACTTAGCTTCTAAAATATAGCAGCTCAGTGAATATATCACACATTCATTCCAAAGAATGTACTTTTATCACTGAACTGCTTCCTCTTTCTTTTCCTTACTGATTTAATAAGCATATGGAGGCCAAAGCTGTTGGTGCAATAAAAAGTAAAAATGCTCTCTTTATCCTTTCCAGACCATTGATAGAGAAAATAATAGCATTTAAGTGAAGTACTTCTCATTATAATGAAAGTCACTGCATTGTTGCTAGATCATAACATATAATAGGAGGTCAGTATCCACAGTGCTGAGCAAAATCAGTGTTAATAGAGTAATGTAATTAAAATTAATTGAGTATGATTCTGCCTATTAAATATATTAAGATTGATGTGGGTTATTTTCCCTTGATTCTTTTTGTTAAGGTTCAGTCTTGCTCCAAACGCTGCTGCCATCTCTATTCTCTTATTCTGTTATCAATAGACAAAACTCAAATTAGAACAGAATTTTCTCAAAGGATTAAGAAGTAAATGGACTTCATTACATCACCTGAATCTACAGTTGCACTTGCACTGGCTTTCACAATTGTTTATGGACCCTGGAATGGGGGATGGAGGGCTTGCCCCCCCCCCAGAAGAAAAACTAATCAGGGGGGATGTTGATTTTATCTGATGACAAATCAACTTTGGCTTATGGTGATCATAAGAACAAGAAAGCTTCAAAATTCCTGATCATCACCAGATCAGATCAGGTTTTGAAAAGAAGGGCTTTGGGTATCTTGATTGGATCAATCATTTGTAAACAACAACACTCTTTGACTACTATCTTCCACTTTCCACAGGATTATCTTTTCAAGAAAGTAATATGCATCCAAAGTATGTGAAGTTGTAGGCTTTCATGGCCGGCATCCATAGTTTTTTGTGGGTTTTTCGGGCTGTGTGGCCATGTTCTAGAAGAGTTTCTTTCTGACGTTTCACCAGCATCTGTGGCTGGCATCTTCAGAGAATACTGGAATGGAAGAGAGTGGGTCTATATATAGACCCTGAAGCCATGCCATTAACAACAGAACAATACCTATTCAACACAGAACAATACACAGTTTACATGGAAATCACTCCTCCCTACCTAGGGTCTCACAGTATATATAGACCCACTCTCTTCCATTCCAGTATTCTCTGAAGATGCCAGCCACAGATGCTGGCAAAATGTCAGAAAAAAAAGTCTTCTGGAACATGGCCACACAGCCCGAAAACCCCACAAAAAACTATGTTGCCTCTATTTAGTCATATTGCCTTTGAGTGAGAATTCAGGCTCAATTTGAGGCCTACAGTATTCATAGAACTCTCTCCTATCACTACTTGATTGTTGAATTTCTTCATGACAGGTTTTGTTCACTTCCAGATTTCAGAACCATACAGAAATATTTTTTTTTTAAAAAAAATGTATATCAAGATCCCAGGACCTTGCAAATTATTCATCAGAAGTGCACATTGAAAATTGGTCCCTGACACAATTTTGCAATGTATGTGTTTGGGTGAAATGGAAAGAATATTCACAAATATTTAAAAAAAATATTTTAAAAATATGTTTTTTGAGTGTTGAGCGATCCTGAATTGTGGATAGATGAAAATATTTGTAGTGTGGGACTAATTTTGTGCAAAATTCACACCTCATTTTTTTTTGTTTGTTTTTTGTTTTTACAGAAAACGGCATTGGATAGGAAACATCTGGTCCTCCAGCTGTAGATTTTACTTGTCATCATGTAATGGCTAATAGTAAGGATTTTAGAGATAAAGATCCAAAACAGATATCTATTGTGGTGAAGCGCTTTGAGTTTGTACTTGGACTCTGGGAGATGAAGTGCTGAATTGCTGCTCAGCCACTGGTTGCTCTTGGTCAAGTCACACTCTTCCTGAGCCAAGGAAGACAATAGCAAACCCCCTCTGACCAAATCTTGTTAATAATATGATAGGTTTACCTTAGGATCA